AGAGAGAGACAGAGGAAGGAAGGAAGGAAGGAAGGAAGGAAGGAAGGAAGGAAGGAAGGAAGGAAGGAAGGAAGGAAGGAAGAAAAGAAAGCAGGAAGGGAGGGAGGAAGGAAGGAAGGAAGGAAAGGTTTTCTTTTTTCTTTTTTTTTCTTCCCCCACTAAATGGCACTGAACGAAGGAGAGTGAACCGGGACAGCAGAGTCACGGCGGGGCCCTGGTCCGCTAGGGGGCGGCCGGCTCTCGGGGCAGGTGGAGCTGGACCTCTTCTGAGCGCAGCGCGCAGAGGGCCGCGGGCGCCTGGGCCTCCAGGGCGAGAGGGCTGTGGCCGGGGCTGGAGCGGCCGGACGACGCGGCGGAGAAGGCAGGGCTGAGCTGCACGGCCGTGGTGTCCTGCGCTGTGCGCTCGCTGCTCTCCATCTCCAGCGCCACGGGCCCGCCGCGGCCGCCACCCTGGCCAGGGCCCGCCGCGGCCGCAGAGCGAGCGCGGGGCGCAGGACCCCGGCGGCTACACACGCAGCAGGCCGCGAAGAAAACGAGCGCCAGCGCCAGCAGCGCCGGCCCCACGACGAGCGGCGCGTTGTGCCGGGGAAGGAAGGAGGCGAAGGCGCCCGCCAGCGTCACGTTCACGCCCGCCAGCAGCGCGCACAGACCGCAGGCGCAGCACAGCGCCGGCGATGGCAGGCCCGGCCCCTGGCCCCGGGCGCGTTCCGCGGGTGCCGGGGCCGCTGGCCCCTCGCTTTTCTCAGCGGGTGGTATCGGCCTGCGCACGCCGGGCTCGCATCAAGCTCCCTCCGGCCGCCTGCCCTGAACAGCCCACCTGCCAGGGGCTGCCTCACGGTCGTCCTGTGGGCACACAGCGAGAGGGTGGGGTCAGCAGGGTATCTCGATCTGCAATCCTAGGCTCAGTCTGTAGCTACATTTAGTGCCTGGGTGGGCAGAGGTCACCTTGGCCAGCCCCCTGCCTCTGCCTCTGGGAAGCAACAACCCACCCTATATGAGAAGAGTCGGCTTTTGTTTCCCCATCTAGTTCCCGGGGTCCCTCGTGGCCAGCCTTGCCATCCTCCCTATTCCCTCACTTTCTTTGTCCTCCAAAAAGACGCTGCCCCCCAACCCCTCTACTCCAGGGAGCCTACCTGGACTCACTGAGTAGGAGAATGGCTGGAAAGTGCTCAGCACAGTGTCCGGTTCAGCTTAGGTGCTCATCACATGATAATCATCGTCTTCAGTAATACTAACTAGAAGGCAAATGGCAGCTCTTGGGATTTAGACAACTCACTCTCTCAAGTGGAAAAGACCCTGGAAATCATCTGACCTTGCCCCCCACCCCCAGCCCCTTATTCAGATGAAGAGACGGAAGCTCCCAGAGGTCTAGCAGTTTATCCAAGATCCAGAGCCAGGACCTGAATGACCTTGCCGATTGGCCTCAGCATCCGCACCCAGGCTCAGGTAGGCATAACAATGACATTAACTCTCCTGAACATCAGATGAAGTCCTGGAGTGAGTGGCCACGTGGGAGTGAGGAGCTCCCGATGGTTCAGACGGTCAGTGATGGGGTATAGTCCCCACATGGGCTGGGTTGGGCTGCAGCAGATCTATTATACCGGGGTCTTTCTAGACTGGGCACTCTGTGAAATTCCAATCCTACCTCCATTCCACTCCCCACTGTTCTACTGTCGAACCTGGATTCAAAAGCCTAATCGCTGGATGCTAGAATTCCTTTCTAGGATTCTCTGGAAGTCTCTGGTTCTGGCATCTATCACTGGATTCTAGAACTCTGGAAATGCAGAAACAAGAGTAATAAAATTAGAGTCTAGGGATTTATGACTTTGATTTGAGAATTCTGTTCTATAACGCATAAAATCATGGTTGTTACAAAGGCCCTCAAAGGATGAGATCTTAGCTAGTGAGCTATGTTAGAATTGTGGGGGAAAAAATGCCAGAAAACGGTCCTGGATGGGGATGAAAGGGAAGTAATCAGATGGTACTGCGGTGGGAAGGGAGCATGCAGGGTGAGGAACAGGGAGTGCCACCTGCACCGGGGGCCTGACTCTTCCTGCTTCCATTTCATCTCCTGTAACACGGGGCTACCAATAGAACCCACCTCATAGGGTGCAGTGATAACTAAATACTTAAGCTAAATCAAGTGCTTAGAACAGTGAGTATTTAACAAATGCTAACCATGCCCTTGTGGTGGTGGGTGACAGAAAAGGGAGTCATGAAGTCTCAAATCGGGGAGGCTGGTCATGTTAGGTTTGGAAACAGAAAAGTTGGGTTGTGTCTCAAGTGGAGGTACCTTTCTGAGTGTCCAAACCCTACACCCAGTGGGGTTGGAGAAAGCTTGATCACTGAGTGAAAATGAGGGGTAGTGTCAGATCCTTCACTCTCCACACAGGATGGTGTCACCCTGGCCCAAGCAGGTCAGAGGGCCTGAAAGGCCACCTCCAGGCCTGTCTAGAGCTGATGACTCCAGTGCTCCCTCTCCTGGCACCATGCTGAGAGATGGCAGCTTTACTGAGATTCCTGCCAGAATCACCTTGTTGCTATTCCAAGCTGGCAGGAAGTCAGAAATTCCTACGTCTGCATGAATATCTGCTCTCTAACCTGCTGTTGATGGTTCTGTCAGGCAGGGATGCAACCACTAAAGGGTACAGCAGTTTACAGTTTGCAGAGCACTTTTACATCCATGATATCACAATCTCTGCTACTGCTTGTTGCCTATTAATAGCCACACTTTGGCCAGGTGCAGTGGCTTACCCCTGTAATCCCAGCAGTTTGGGAGGCTGAGGTGGGCAGATTGCTTGAGCTTGGGATTTGAGACCAGCCTGGGCAACAAGCCAAAACCCTGTGTCTATTTTTTTTTAAGTATAAAAAGAACTAATTTTTTTTTTTTAATAGACACATGTTACAGCTGAGGAGACTGAGGCTCAGAGAGGGAAATAGATGGGGGTTCTGGTGGCTGGACCAAAAGAAAGACAGAAATGCTGAGACGAGAGTCAGAGAACAGATGAGCTTGCTCACACCCTACACAATCTTGCTTAATTTTAAAGAGAAGGATTTGATCCTCAGGAGGGGCTGTGAGATTCCCAGATCTTTCCCTTTCAAACCTCTCCCCCACCTCATTCGTCAACATCTGACATTATCTGACAAGGCAGGGGTTCCCTGCCTGTGGGGAGGGCTCAGTCTGAGCATGCCCTGATGGAGGGGAGGGAGTCCAGCTTACCTCACTTCACATCAGTCTCTTGGAAGCTGACATTGGCCTAGGGTCAGGGAGGCCCTGGGGGCTGGAGAGTCCAAGGGTCTTGCTTCTTTTACCATATGGGGAAGACTCTCCTTTGCCTTTGGGTTTTTGGCAGTTTTGCTGTGATGTGCCTAAGTGAGTTTTTCTTTGTATGTATCCTTCTTTGTAGATGCTTTCTTTGTATGTATCCTTCCTGGTGCTTCTACAATCTGTGGCTGCATCTTATCTCCCCCCAGGTCAGGAAAAACTTCAGCTCTTATCTTTTCCCCATTCTCTTTCTCCTCTCCTTCTGGGACCTTCATTGCACGTATGTTCAGCCATTTGTTATTGCCCCACATGTCTCTTTTACACTTTATTCTGTATTTTCTAGTCCTTTTCTTCCCTCCTTCTCTCCGTTTCAGTCTGGATATTTTTCTACTGAAATATTTTTCTACTATCCAGTTTACTAATCCTGTTTTCACATGTGTCTTCTCTGCTGCTAAATCCATCAATGGAGTTATTGATTTCATTTGTTATAACTTTTCAGTTCTAGAATTTCCACTAGATCCTTTTTCATAGATTCCAGTTTTCTATTGAAATATTTCCTCTCATCATCTGTTTTCTTCTGGAGTCCATGTCTGAAAACTCCAACATGTGGATCTCCAGTGGGCTTGTTTCTATTGTCTGTTTTATAGCTCTTGTCCATTTTATTGTTTTTGTTCATAGCTCCTGAAATGCCAGATAATTTTTTCTTGGATGTCCAACACTGTGTATAAAAAAATTATAGAGTTAGCATGAGGCTCTGAGTAATATTATCTTTCTCCAGAGGGGATTTGCTTTTGCTTCTGACAGGCACCTAAAGGAGGACAGGCCACTGATTGGAAACTTTATATCAGTCTTTCTGAGTCTAGTCTATCTCTGGTTAGCCTTTTTTTCCTACAGTGTTGCCCTTTGGTCTTCCCAATAAAAGTTGGAGGTGTTTAACAGGACCCTTCCCCTTTTTAGGCCCCAAATTCCAGTTTTGACTCCCCAGTCTCATGACCATGCCTCCTACAAGCTGGAAAATGCCTTTAGGGAAAAATTGAAACCAATATTACTTCTCTCCACAATCTTGGGCCTGTCAAGTCCTCACTGCCTTGGTAGCTCTCCCATGCCTTTAAACAGATTTCTTAAATGCTTACTAGCTTTTAAAGTTATCCTCAACACATAAATTGGTCTGATAGAAGCTAGTCTACTTTAGCCAGAAACAGAAGTCTAGATGATAATCTGAAGTTAGCACTTTTAGATCTATAACTAAGTTATGCTATGCTAAGCACTTGTAATAATATTTAATTTAATTTTTACAACATAAGATTAAGTATTACTATTACATCTCTATTTTACAGAGGAGGAAATTGAGACACAGAAAGATTAAGTAAACTCACCCCACACCACTCAATTGCAGTGGTAGTGCCAGGATTTGAAATCTGGTGCACTGATGCCAAAGCCTGAGCTGTCAACCCAGCACAGTGCTAGACTTGCTAAATGTTTGTTGAATGACTGAAGCACAGGCTCTTCTGAGGCCATGTAGATAAGCTCCTATAATTAGAACTTACACACTCAAATGTCAGCAGAGGAAGACAGGTTTTCTCTGGTTCAAAGAAGGTAAAACTCACTTTGCTTCTCCCTTGGTTTGGCAAACTAGGTTCAACAGAAAATAATTCCAGCCCAGGGGCTGAACTTCTAAATGATTCTTATCTGCTCCTGGGAGGCAGAGCCACTGTAAGACAAAAAGATCTCCACCCTAGGCACAAAAAGGACTAAGAACAAGTGGGTGTCGGGCTTATTCCTGAGGTGGCCTCCACCCTGGTTAATTGGGATCTACGGGTGTGCAGGGGTGAGGTGTTGAGGCTGCTCAGCAGTTGTAATTCAGTTTGGGCCACCATTTCATCTGGTGGACTGTGGGCTCCAGCTGCTGTTGCAGTGTTGGTCCTGCTTCGTTGTGGGTGTTCTGGCTAGCTCTGTTGTGGGGTGTCCTTGGCACTGTTCACTAAATCTTTCTGGTTTTCATTCTATTGAGCACATGTTAAGATTGTACTTTCTGGCTGATTTGTGATTAGGTGGCACTGTGTGACATTCTGGACACATGCCAATTCCAGGCTGGCCTATTGGATTATGGAAGGAGGACTCTCTGAGTTGATGCTATTATGGAAGGAGGACTCTCTGAGTTGACGCTATTGCTCTCCCTAGCCCTCCAAACCCCTTCTATTTCATTCCAAGCCCAGCCTTCAACCCCAGTGCCTGAGCAGGAGGGAAGGACATTGCTCTGACTCCTGAGTTGCTAAGACTGGAAGACCTTGACTTATTTAATGAGTACTCCAAGCTGCTGAGCCCATGGAGATCACCTAGTTCTACCCCTAAATCTATAGATGTGGGAAACTGAGGCTTGGGGTAAAAGAGGTCTGTGGCCAAGCCAGACCAGGCCCTTTTCCCACCCAGCCAGGGCTCTGAACACTGTCATTCAGCTGCCCATGACCCTGGCCAAGCAATTCACCCTCCCAGCTGCCCTGCCTTTGGCTGGGGAGGCCTCACGGTCTCTAAGTGGGACTTTGGGGCAGGGGCGGACACTGGTTAGGCAGCCTGGCAGAGCTGGGGTCCTTCTCTGAGCCTTAGCTGTCTGAATGTGAAGGAAGGGGTATAATGAGGTTATTGTCCCCAAACTGAGGTCCCTCAGCAATCAATCTGTTGCCCCACCCTCAATTACTTGAGGTTTGTAAAGGTGGAAATGAGAAACTGCTTAGAAATTACTGTCACTGTATAAAAGGTCTCATAAAATGGCACATTGACCTGTATATGGCTGTACCTGCTCACTGTATCAGATTCTTTGCTTTAGGCTGGGATTCTGTTATTTCCCCGGGAAGACAGGGTTTCTGGTTGAGGGGGAGGGGCACTCATATTGAGCAGCAACTCTGTGCTAAGCACTTTCCTTCCATTAGCACATTTAATCTTCACTGCAACCTGTGAGCGGTTGCAGTCCTGCCCCCAGTTGACAGGGAGGCCAGTGAGGCTCAAGGAGGTGAAGGGGACTTACTCCAGTTTACTCAGCGGCAATAGGGAAAGCTGGGATTCAAACCCTATTCTGTCAGATTGAAAAGCTTATGTTTCTGCCTTATTAGAATTGCTGTTTGCAGAAAGGTAGGGAGATGTTTGCTTATTTAAAACAATTTGGGCTCAAGGTGGGTGGTCCTCAGTAGGTGGGGGCAAGAGCTCCTGGAGAGGGAGACTCTGCTCGAGGTCCCTTCAGGTCAGCAGGTCAGCCTGCGTCCCCCTCTACCCCCAGCCCATGGTTCTGGGAAGTTCGTGTTGTACAAGAGCAGTTACTTGACTAGAGGTAGCTGCCAGGCCTCCTGGCTCCACATTCCTGGCCCAAAGGCCCAAGAGCCTCTGGGCATGGG